GTCCCGGGCCCCGCCACCGACGCCCGCGTGTTCCCGCAGAGCTTCGGCGGCCGGAGGAGCCCGCTCGAGGCACGGGCCTGTTCGAGGCGGCTAACCGGGAGTTCGAGAGCACGGAGGTGAGCGCCCGGGCCGGCACGGGGGGCGGCGCTGCCGCTGGGGGCGAGCTGCTCGAGCAGCCCTGCTTGCCCGTCACAACCGGCACGACAGTAACCCCAGATTCTGAAACGGCTGCGCGCGAAACCTCTCCCGCTGTGGCTAAGCGGGAGCTTCGTGCGAGCCCTGAAGCCCCTGGTTTAGGGGCCCCGGCATATTGTCTTAGTTGGATTCCCTGCCCAGGCTGACTGGAGGAAGTTAATGTCACAGTGTTGCCACGTTAAAAGCTGCGTTTGGCAAGGGGAACTCGTCTTTTCATCTCGGGTGTAAAGTGTTCCTGCAGTTGCATTAACTTTTGCCTTTTATACTTTGTTCAAATTCTCCCTTATATTTCATGGTTTTCTGTGATCTCGTGTATCCTCGTTAACACAGCTTCGCTTCACTGAATTTTACTATGCCTAGTAATTTCTGAGGTTTTTTACATACTGTAAAGTCACAGTGGAAGGTGGTTGGGCATCAGGGATAAAAGAAGTTTGCCAGAAAATACCGTATCTAATGGTTGACTACTGCTTGCTCTTTTAGTCAGGAAGTGACACTTCAGACATTTCAGAAGAGCTTTCTACACAAGATGGAGAGGGAAAGTCCCCAGGAAAAACGACATCGGGTTTGAAAACTGGACCAGGGGACTCTGCCCTCCCTGACACACCGTTACAGAGGGAAGAAAGACCAAGCACCTGCTCTTCTTCCAGTGTGGTGGGAGAAGTAGTAAAAACTATGCAGCACTTCATGGAGAAGTTCAGCATGGACCTGCTCACTGTCACACAGGCCTTTCTGAAAAACACTGGTGAAGTGGAGACTACTTTATACTTCCTGCAGACAGGGCAGCGCTTGGATGGGTACCCTGTATGGAGCAGAGAGGATGATTTGGAATTGCAAAAAGATGATGAACATGTCAGAAATAAATTGATAGCAAAATTTGGAGCTGAAAATGTAGCAAAACGGGTAGTATTTAGGAAAAGTTAGATAGCAAAGCAGAGGGGAATGACTGATCTAGGACTGTGGCAAGAACTAAAAGTAATTTCAGAAGTGCAGATGTGATGGAAAACAATGCAACATTCTGAAATTTCAGAAATGCTTTAAAATCCTTTTTGTAAAAGACCTATTTTGTATTTATTTTTCTAATACCGAGTAGGCTAAACATTTAAAAGCAGAAAATGGTGAAAAGAAAGGTTCTGTACAGTATCAAGTTTTCACTGAAAGTTTGCTTTAAAGTGTGTGTCTAGTCTATAAAGCAGCTGACAGTCCTACCTGTACGTTGCTGTGTGCAAAGGATTTTGGATAGGGTTGGGACTAAAATCTGACAGAATCACATTAAGTGCTCTAACCCATAATGCATTATTAGTGCACAACAGCAGCCTGTCATGTGCCTAACTTCAAACTGTGTGTCCTGGTTCAGCCAGGATAGAGTAAAGTTTTCCCCAGCAGAGACAGAGGGGGAAGGGATCTCCAGCTGGGTTATTCATACCATGCTGACGTCAGGTCCGGGGGCTGAACCTTTTCCTTGCTCCTTGGTGGATTCGGGAGGGAATTTGGCTTTCTATAGACCAGCTAGCGGTATTTCTCCATATATCATTTGTCTTGTTCACTGTTATTGCTGTTTATTGTTGTTACCATTGATACTGTTGTTGTTCCGATTGTTCTATGGCTCTGTTGTATTAAATTTCTTGTTATTTTAGCCAGGGTCTGTGTTTAACTTCCAACCTGACTGGCGCAGGTGGGGGAGGGGCAACGGCCACGTGCTCTCATCCCGGCAAGGATTAAAACTTGCACACTGTGGTGGATGATCATCTCAGTTTTTATTACCCCTTCAGCACATGTTCTCCAGGGTTAATATTGCAGGATTTAATAACATTAACTTTACCATTTTGCTTCATGATTTCAAAATCAATAAATAGCTCTGCCCCATCTTGAGTCTCTACAAATTGAAGAGTTACAGCTTTAATCCAGGCAAAGTAACACTTGTACCAGACCATAAAGTCTAGTTGGAAAAAGTAGATGAGCTTTCAGGGCTACATGCAATAGTTCAAGTAGGAAATACAAGTTACAAAAGGGTGTTCAGAGTTTATTTATGTATTTATCACCTAAGTCATGTTTGAGAGAGAGAGAGAGAGAACACCATTGCAGGTACAGTCACAGTCTGAAAAGCTGAGTACATTCAGCCTGAAATCATGCTCTGGTTATGATTTTAATATTTGAAGTCAGTCCTGTAAATCTGGAATTTATTCTTTTGGTGAAATAAAATGGGCTGGTCAAAGCAAAGATTGACTTTTGTTCTTGTTTCCTTAGAAATATGTTTGGAGGGTTTTGCTTATTGCACTGTGGCACTCAAAAAAAAAAAAAAAAAAAAAAAAAAAAAAAATTGCTGATTTTTAAACCAAATTCAAATTATACTGAAAGTCAATGATAACTTCATAATGAGACTGCTGCTTCGGAAAACTGCTGTCCTGAAACACCAGCTGACTATTTGGGGAGTTAACCAATGTAACCAAATAAATGCTAAAACTCTTGGTTTAGGGTTTCACTGGGCTGGTTCATTCCTGCTGAAAAAGTGAGAATTATTTACCTGGTACATTTATGCTGTTCAGACTGATTAGTTGAGACTTGTGTGAAAAACCAAACAAGCACTTAACAAGAGAGTGTACGATAACACAGCAAATAAAGTAGTAAGATTAGAAACTTTAACAGCTGGATTTGAAGTCCAAGGACTACTGATGCCCAGGTTCACTAACAGAATTGTCACCTCCTGCAGCCAAAAATTCACATTCTAGCCCGGGTGGTGTACACATCTCAGCAGCACCATAACTTCGTCATTCAGCAGTTGTCCAGGTTAACCAAAACTGCTCTAGAATTCAAAGTGAAAGGTAGAATGCATTAAGTGGCCGCAACATAAAAGATCAGGTGTAAGGTTTACTACATCTTTTTATAATTCTAAGTGACACATTTATTTAAGAGTGAGTTTGTCTTTTTCAGGACAATTTGTCAGACATGCAAGGCAAATTTCTGAGTCCACATAGAGTGCTGCTACCTCTGCAGAACTGTACAAACACACTGTCTAACCTGAGAACCTTTCCACATCCACTTGGTGCAGTCAGTAGGCACGGGAACTAAGACACGAAGAGCACAGCTTACTCCAGGTTGCCGTCTCATCTGTTCTGAGCTCCTGAAACACACTGCTGATCCACAAGCATACAGGTCTAGGTCTCCTCAGTCCACTTTCCCATTAACAGGACCTGGAGATGTCACTATGTCATTGTAGTGCTAGAGCTGGAATAACAGGCCCTGAAACAAAGATTGACCTACAGATGAACCTCACGACTAAACGTTATCCATTATTAGTATCTGTTAATTAGTAAAATCTGTATTACTACTAGTGTTAATTATTTGTATCTGATCATTAATGAAATATGTATGCTCACTACTGAAAGATGTAGTTTAGACAAAATGTAGTTAGTGGTGAGGATGAAATGCTGTGAGAATGTGTTCTTTCCTTGTTCAGCCTTGTTCAAGGCTGAGAACCCCAGTGTTCGGCCTGGTTAGAAACTCCCTTGGCTCTCCCCCCCCAAGCCCTGGCCAGGCTCTGGGTGGAATTTAACAGGAAGATGAAACCAGATGTTTCTGCTCAAGACAAAGGTGCAAGTTATTCTTTCTTGCTGATTTTTGGTCTATAAGGCTGGACCTTCTTGCCACAATTTTGGATGCCTCAGCTATGGGTGGACACATCACGTAGGACTTCCCACTTGCAGGGAAAGGTTCTCCAAATCCTCCCTGCCACTGGGGCTGCCCAGCACCTGCAGGTCTGGACGTTGGTAACGTATGCAAGAGGTGAGGGATCCTTCTTAATCACTATTCTCCCCTTTGTGTAGTAATGATTAGGTTCATTGTCTTGCTTAACTGTCTGTAGTAATGTGTATTTTTCTTACTGCTTATTTTCTGTAGTATTTAGTTATATCCTTTGAGTACTAACAGTAAGATCAGCCTACTCTTTTCACTCTGGTGTCCGAGTTTAATTGGCATCCATGATCAGCAGAACAGTCATACGGTTCTGCTCCATGGCATTGTGGCTTTGCCTTCTCCTGCAGTAAAAATCCTTGTTTGCTTTGTCTTACCAAAGACACAGTTACATTACTTCCAATATGCTAGAGACAGTTTGCCTTTCCATGTTCATATCAGGTCCCTGTACTTTCAGGGAGTATCAAGAATACTCTTTTTGTAGCTCAAAGAAGTGTTTCTTCTTTGTATTATTGTGTTAAGTTCCATTTTAAATGGATTTTAAAAGATTAACAGCAGCAGTATGCTTCTGTGGCTCAGTATGAGTCCTATGTGACTATGCTAGCCTGCCTGCTCTGTGTGCTAACACTCTGTGAAGAAGATTCCTTGCTACCACCATGCCAGTGCTGCCTGCCCAGCATGGATTTTGTCATTCAGCAACAGGATCCCTAGTAGTTAGACTATGATTTCTATAATATACATCCCACTCTCTGCAGGGATTAGGGTTTTAGCTCTAGGAATATAAATATCCACAGTGCTATGGTAGCACTGTGATCTGTAAATGTCAGTAAAGCCTAAATGTTGGATGAAACTTCCAATTTCTCCTTAATGAAACCTTAATTTACACAATAAAGATTGGCATCAGCCTCTTTTAATTGAGTCAGTATTAGGCCAGTTTTACAGATGATAAAATGGAAATTCAGACTCTGGAAAGACACAGAAATATCACCTGAAATCTTTCCAACCACTGAGAAGAAAAGCTTTGTTTTAAACAATAGTATTCATACTTAGAGGAACCTTACCTTAGTGGTTTCCAGAAAGAAACCATGTGCCTGAGGAACAAACATCCTGTAATCATCCACAGCTGCTTTAGCTTTTAGTCTTGGTTATCTGGTCTGTTTATTTCATCCAAAAGAAAAGCATGACTGAAAGTGAAATTTGGATAGTGACTTTGTGCAGCTATGGGAAAAATTCAGCTCATATGGTGTGCAGACTTAGTAGTGCATCCGAATAATTCAGTGTGCTAGGCCCTGTTTAGTGGTAAGAGATGTCTGGGTTCAATTTCAAAAGGCTCCTTCAGAACACGACATTTGTCTAGTCCTGCACCCAGAAACCAGGAAGACCCTGCTGACTGAGTAACAAGCTGAGCTCTGCCCTGCCCACCCACCTGCCCCAAGGCATGAGTGTACACAAAAGCATTTGAAGAAATAGAATTTCATGGATAAGAGAAATGCTGCAACAAAACACCAGCCTTTGAAATCTAAACAATTAACAATACTACTGAATGTAACAGAAATTGAAAGAAAGGCTCCTGCCTACACTGTTTCTCTTGCTGCTGACCAATTGCCTTGCTGGGCAAATAACCTCCCCTACTGACCACTCAGTGATGCATTAATTCACTCTGCAACTCTCTTCCTAACTGCTGCAGGATGGTCTGTTACCCCAAAGGGACACACAAGGTCTGGACTCCAGGGAAGGTAACTACAGAGCTGCTTCTGGGCTGGGAAGCTCTCCGTGGTCTCAGAGCTGACTGTTAACTGAGAGTGGCTCATGGGTTCATTCCACAGGTCCACTCTTCAGCTGGCAGATACTTTCTCTTGCTAACCAACGAAACTGCTCAGTGTCTGTAAGGCTACTTTCCCTACTTTCCTCAGCAGAATCAGCACTCTCTGGTACAAAACCCCCCCAACACACGCAGCTGCTGTGAACCTGCCAGAAGAGCCTTCTTCCTACTATCAGAGATCGCTGTTCAGTTAAACCGAATCATCTGTCACCCTTAAAACACACGCAATAGAGACTGGACACTTCCTTGCCTATACACCTTCAAACAGGAACAGAGTCACCATATCTCCTAATTTTAAAATTCAGCAGTATACGTTTATCTTCTTAAGAAGATATTGCAACTTTTTAATAACATGCAAATGAGGTCTAGTCCTCCACGTAGATATTGCCATTTTTCTATAGTGGGCATGAAATGCCCTCTGGCAGGTTTAATATGAGCCCTCTTCACCTCACTGTCATGAGGGGGCAGCTGACAGACAGTGAAAGGGGCCTTGGGGCTGCAGCCAGGTCAGAGAAGGGAGGGGAGCACCAGGGAGAGGAGCAGTGAACTGGGGATGGGGGCGGGGGGTGGTGCAAAGGGAAGTGGAACACAGCTTCCCATGGTCCTGAGCACCCTGATCCTGACTGGAGCCTCCTCAGATCACCTCCAATGCACAGCCTTGCCTCGATCACCTTCTCCCAAGGATGCACAGTCTCAGAACAGAGCCTCATCCCTTGGCTTGTGATCCTGCCTTCGGACAGCTGCCTTGCCGTCTGCAGGGTAGTGGAAATATCCCAGCTCTGGAGCAACGTGAATGCACCGTTAAACAGATGCATGTTAAAGGCAT